GCATGTTTGTTTTTTTTTTTTTTTTTTTTTTTTTTTTTAAAAAAATGATGCAATTTGGGATTCCTAGATGTAACCAAAAGCAAGATGTGAAGTAGTCTCAACTAGGCCGTCCAATCTTGAATCTCACAAGCATATGCTTTGAAGCATATTCTTAATTCTCAATTCTATGCCTAATAAAATCATAAACAAGAAATCTAATGGCGGATAAACCAAGGTATTCTCACAATTAATCTCTTCTTTTATAAGCATGGCAAGCTTATGATTCAACACAACACTTTAACTAACATGGACAATAATCGTAAGGTAGTTCTAATCACTGGCTGCGGCAAGGGTGGCATTGGCTACGAGTACTGCAAAGCCTTTGCTGAGCAAAACTGCCATGTCTTTGCATCCGACATCCCTCATCGCCTCAATGACATGACCGACCTCTCATCTCAAAACATTGACACGCTTGAGCTCGATGTCACATCCGACCAAAGCGTAGCCTCAGCTACCCAAAAAATCATATCCAAGTGTGGCCGAATCGATGTGTTAATCAACAATGCTGGGATAGGAAGCACAGGACCACTGGCCGAGCTCTCGTTAGATGAGGTTAAAAAGGCTTATGAAATCAACACATTGGGCGGGCTAAGGCTTGTCCAACAAGTCGTGCCTCACATGGCCTCGCAACGTAGTGGAATGATAGTTAATGTGGGAAGTGTTGTTGGGAATGTGTCGACACCTTGGGCTGGGTCTTACTGCGCTAGTAAGGCCGCTGTCCACTCCATGACAAACACGTTGCGCCTCGAATTAAAGCCATTTGGGATTAACGTGGCGCTAGTGGTGCCAGGGGCGGTGAAATCGAGTTTAGGAAGTCATAATATGGAGAAGTTGGCAAATTGTGACTGGAAACTTTACGGGGAGTATAAAGAAGCGATTGCCGAGCGTGCTGGCGCTTCCCAAGGTGGCAAAGCGACCGATGCTACGATTTTTGCTAGACATGTTGCGAAGAAAGTATTGAGTCCAAGACCGCCTAAGCAGATTGTGTTTGGTCACATGACTGGTTTGTTTGCTGTACTTTCATGGTCTCCTCTTTGGGTGAGAGATCAGTTCTTCACGAATCGATTTGGCCTGAACAAGAAGGTTTAAGGCTATACTTGGGTTTGTGTCTGTACTAGTATGTCTTCTTATGAAGATCATCATATCCCTAATAATTTGTTTGGTTGGTTTGGGATTTTATGTCTTTTTTGTAACCATTTAATGTGTAACAAGTTTAGGTACACATTGTCCTTGTTACCCATATAATCAAAATATATATATATATATATATAAAGGAAAGAAAAGGGTTCGAAGACATCTTTCACTTTAGCACCCAGCATAAATATGTATTTAAACCTTGTTTCATGAACATTTGCAGGGTTCTACCAAACATTTGGATGCAAAATACTTTCGGTTGCACGTGATTCTCTTTTTTCAAAATTTATGTTCTCTATCCCATATTCCCTATTCTTGGGTTTAGAAAATTGAATCTTCGATCTTATTTTCGTTTATCTTTATTTCAAACTCCATTATTGTAAGATCAAAGTCAGATCCAATGAGAGTGTTTAGGACAAAGAGAGAAGGGAGGGTGGGATAGAGGATTCTCAATCTTGATTTACTCGATCCCACTATTCATACATATATTTTCAATGCAATTATGACATAAAATTAAACCATTGTTCTACTTTGTTTTCTCTGTGACTCTTGGTTAACTAGTCTCTCCGGTGGTGTCCTATTTCTAGAAGGGCATAATGGTCCTAGTCTGGTAAAGACATTTGAGCCAACTAAATCACTTATGAAATGTCATATATTTAGAAATAATTTACAAAAAATTGAGTCAAGAATTACGTGACAGTAGCTTTGTTGAAATTATAAATTATAATGAAAATGAAACCAGAACAAAAGATCACAAATTTTTGTATAAAAGTTTTGCCACTACAACATATAAATGTTTTAAGAACCAATTTTTTATCCTCAAAAAGTGAAAATTTTGTTACCAAAAATACTTGAGAATCAACTCATGTCATTGCAAAAGTTGTCGTTAAAAAGTCGTTTTGATTTTTTTTTTAAAAAAAAATATGGAAAAAAAATATAGAAGTGATGTGATCCAAAAAAAACCAAAAGGTCAAAAAGTTGGCTTTTCTAATACAAATAATACAAAAATAATGATAACATGTAAGACAAAGTTTTCCTGCAAAGTTTTGAATTTTTGTAATAAAAATTATGAATGTTGTGATATATTATGTAGTTTTTTGCTGAAGTTATAAATGGTAAATTTATAATTGAGAGCCATTATAGTTTTGTTATAAATATTGTAGTTAACTTATGGACATAGTACAAATAAAACAATTAGAATATTTGTTATAAATCATTGTGGTACACCTTTTTATGATGCAAATCATAACAATTTCCTAATATGTATATATATATATATATATGTTTTAAAATATATTTGTAGTTTCAGTATTCACTTTTATAAAGATTGGAAGACAAAAGAACAAGAGAAGAAAAACAAAGAAAACATTCCCGATATAACTTTGTCACAGACAAACAAAAAGTGTCTATTGATTGCTGATTATCCTGATAGGATATTCCTCCGTAGGTTGTTTCCTCTGGACTAAGAAAAGGCATGAACAATAATTTGCCGACTCAGAAGCATTACTGGAACTCTGCCAAAGACTATCTGATAGAGCTAGTTCCATAGCATCAGAAGCTAGCGGGGCAGAAACTTGCCTGCCAAGAACAGTATATAGAGAAGGTAGAGAAGAGACCCAACTGAGTCTGGCAAAAGAGTTGAAGCTAGACACACCAAACCAAGCGAACCAAACACCATTATCCCATGGCGGGCCTAAGTTTGGCAGTGGCGATGATCTTCATAAGAAGAAGATTTCAGTTCAACATAGAAAGCAGGCAATAGAGAAGCAAACTTGCACTAGAAACACCCAAAGATTTGGGGTATGCGTCGAATGGGGATATGTTCTTTCCTTGATATTTGATTTGCGAAAATGTGAGGAACACTGGGACAATAAAGGCCAGAACAACGTGCGAAGAAGCAGAGGAGGAGGTACTCTATCGTTGCAACAAGTAGTGGTAGGAGTGTGTTGTAATGCTGACAAATGAGAAATTGATTTGTCCAAACAAGTTTGTCTGCGTGTCTTGTAGACGTGTTCTTCGTGTTGTTGTCGCTATTGATTTAACAATAACACAAAGAAAGAGGGAGAGAGAAATGGGGAGAGAGAGAGAGAGAGAGAGAGATCTATATCAAATTAAGGAATTAGTTGGTTATATATAGAAAAGGGAACATGATATACAGGAAAAAAAAAACCCCAAACGACTTCCCTTGTGTTTTAACAGGTGGCTTAACTCAAGTAAACAGGAAAGGGCTAGAGGAAAGAGAAGAAACTTTGCCCAATTCTATGTTCTAAGTTATATGTATTAGATGTGGCACTGCAAAAGCGGTTGTTTTTTTCTTCATGGCCTCTAACCCTCACGTAAAGTCGTTTTGAAATTTTTTTTTTTTTGAAAAAATATGTAAAAAAAATGGAGACGTGATGCGATCCAAAAAAAATCAAATGGTCAAAAAGTTGACTTTTCCAGTACAAATAATACAAAAATAATGATAACATGTAAGACAAAGTTTTCCTGCAAAGTTTTGAATTTTTGTAATAAAAATTATGAATGTTGTGATATATTATGTAGTTTTTTGCTGAAGTTATAAATGGTAAATTTATAATTGAGAACCATTATAGTTTTGTTATAAATATTATAGTTAAGTTATGGACATAATATAAATAAAACTTTTTCAATATTTGTTATAAAACGTTGTGGTACACCTTTTTAAAATGCAAATCATAACAATTTCTTAATATTTATATATCTTATATATATATATATATATATGTTTCAAATATATTTTTAATTTCAGTATTCACTTTTATAAAGATTGGAAGACAAAAGAACAAGAGAAGAAAAACAAAGAAAACATTCCCGATATAACTTTGTCACAGACAAACAAAAAGGGTCTATGGATTTCTGATTATATTGATAACATATTCCTCCATAGGTTGTTTCCTCTAGATTTAGAAAAGGCATGACCAATAATGAACCGACACAGAAGCATTACTGGAACTCTGCCAAAGGCTATCTGATAGAGCCAGTTCCACAGCATCAGAAGCTGGCGGGGCAGAAACTTACCTGCCAAGAACAGTATATAGAGAAGGTAGAGAAGAGACCCAACTGAGACTGGCAAAAGAGTTGAAGCTAGAGACACCAAACCAAGCGAACCAAACACCACTGTCCCTTGGCGAGCATAAGTTTGGCAGTGGCGATGATCTTCGCAAGAAGAAGATTTCAGTTCAGCATAGCAAGCAGGCAATAGAGAAGCAAACTTGCAATGGAAGCACCCAAAGATTTGGGGTATGTGTCGAATGGGGATATGTTCTTTCCTTGATATTTGATTTGCAAAAATGTGAGGAACACTGGAACAATAAAGGCCAAAACAACGTGCCAAGAAGCAGAGGAGGAGGAACTCTATCGTTGCGACAAGTAGTGGTAGGAGTGTGTTGTAATGCTGAGAAATGAGAAATTGATCTGTTCAAACAAGTTTGTCTACGTGCCTTGTTGAGGTGTTCTTCTTGTTGTTGTCACCATTGATTTAACAATAACAGAAAGAGAGAGGGAAAGAGAGAGAGAGAGAGAGAGAGAGAGAGAGAGAGAGATCTACATCAAAATAAGGAATTAGTTGGTTATATATAGAGAAAGGAACATGATATATAGGGAAAAAAAAACCCCAAACGACTTACCTTGTGTTTTAACAGGTGGCTTAACTCTAGTAAGCATGAAAGGGCTGGAGGAAAGAGCGGAAACTTCGCCCAGTTCTAAGTTCTAAGTCATATGTACAGATGTGGCGCTGCAAAAGAGGATGTTTTTTTCTTCATGGCCTCTCACCCTCACGTAAAGTTGTTTTGAATTTTTTTTTATTTTTAAAAAATATGTAGGAAAAATTAAATTGTCAAAAAGTTGGCTTTTCTAATACAAATAATACAAAAATAATGATAACATATAAGAGAAAGTTATCCTGTAAAGTTATTAATTTTTGTAATAAAAATTATAAATATTGTGATATATTATGTAGTTTTGAGCTGAAGTTATAAATGGTAAATTTATAATTGAGAACCATTATAGTTTTGTTATAAATATTATAGTTATGTTATGGACATAGTATAAATATAAAAATTAGAATATTTGTTATAAAACATTGTGGTACACCTTTTTAAGATGCAAATCATAACAATTTCCTAATATATATATGTTTGAAAATATATTTTTAATTTCAGTATTCACTTTTATAAAGATTGGAAGACAAAACAACAAGAGAAGAAAAACCAAGAAAACATTCTTGATATAACTTTGTCACAGACAAACAAAAAGGGCCTATTGATTGCTGATTATACTGATAACGTATTCCTCCGTAGGTTGTTTCCTCTGGAGTTAGAAAAGGCATGAACAGTAATGAGTCGACTCAGAAGCATTATTGGAACTTTGCCTAAGACTATCTAATTGAGCCTGTTCCACAACATCTGAAGTGGGCGGGGCAGAAACTTACCTGTCAAGAACAGTATATAGAGGAGGTAGAGAAGGGACCCAACTGAGTCTGGCAAAAGTGTTAAAGGTAGAGAAAACAAACCAAGTTAACGAAAGACAACTGTCCCATGGCGAGCATAAGTTTGGCAGCGGCGAAGATCTTCGCAAGAAGAAGATTTTAGTTCAGCATTGGAAGCAAGCAATAGAGAAGCACACTTGCAATGGAAACACCCAACGATTTGGTGTATGTGTCGAATGGGGATATGTTCTTTCCTTGATATTTGATTTGCAAAAACGTGAGGAACACTGGGAAAATAAAGGCCAGAACAACGTGCCAAGAAGCAGAGGTGGAGGTACTCTGTCGTGGCGACAAGTAGTAGTAGGATTCTGTTGTAATGCTAAGAAATGTGAAACTGATCTATCCAAACAAGTTTGTCTACCTTGCTGAGGTGTTTTTCTTGTTATTGTCGCCATTGATTTAGCAATAACACAAAGAGAGAGAGAGAGAGAGAGAGAGAGAGAGAGAGAGAGAGAGAGATCTACATCAAAATAAGGAATTAGTTGCTTATATAGATAAAAAAGAACATGATATATAGGGAAAAAAAAACCCCAAACGACTTGCCTTGTGTTTTAACAGGTGGCTTAGCTCAAGTAAGCATGAATGAGCTAGAGCAAAGGGTGGAAACTTCGCCCATTTCTAAGTTCTAAGTTATATGTACAGATGTGGCGCTGCAAAAGTG